CCCCAAAACCCCAAAACCCCAAAACCCCAAAACCCCAAAACCCCGGATTTTCAGCCCAGAATTGAAATTTTTTATAAAATTCTTGTAAAAACTGGATATTTTGATTATTTCTCGAAGTTTGGGTTCCTTAAACTTTACTGTTCATCCTTGAATACTTTGTTAACTCAATAGCTGTACACCACTATATCATGGTTTAGTATTTAGAAAGTAATTATTTTGTAAGAGGGTTGGTAAGATTACGTATTTTCACGAGCTGAAGGATTGATAGTTCAGCTGAAGTCATAAAGGGACTGACCGATTGTTTGCTGAGGGTTAATTACTCCTCCTACTTCCTTTGTCGCTTGGTTGATGAAGGTCTCTTCTACTTTTCCTGACTTTTTGTGCTCTTGGATGATTTTGTCTTTTAATTGGAGGTATTTTTCAGGCATCAAATTGATTTTGGTCACTAGGTTATTTTTCCTCCTCGTTAAGTTGGGAGAACTCCTTGCTCTCTTGGATCTCTTTAGCGAGTTGGAGTGCCCGTCTCCGCTTACTGAGATTCTCTACTTGTGAGTAATTCTTCTGGTTTTTGATGAAGGAAAGCGTCTCTTCATCCTTTGAGTCATCGTTTTTCTTGTCTTTTTTATTTTTCCTCGATGTGCTTTTCGATTTCAGATAGGCTTTTGAGGCCTAAGGATTTGAAGGTCTTAAGCTGATTGATTAGGGTACGGAGTTTATACTCTTTTAACATGTTAGTGACTCTCTTCTCATGATCTTGTTTTGAAGAGAATCGTGCAAATGGCTTCATGCAATTGATAATGTCTCTTTCTTCCTTTGAAAGCTTCTTCTCTTGCTTCTGGATCTTCTTAATATCAAGGAGGCCTCTGTCGATGACGAACTTCTTACGCCTTATACGTTCATCAAGCCTAGCGTTATAATATTCGAGGACTTTGAACTTGAGTTCTTTTTCTTCATCAGTGTCATCTTCTAGGAACTCCATTTCGCAGATTCGAGTCTCCGCTTCTTCGTCATATTCATTGTCAAAGTCTCCTCTTTTGGGCATGTAGCCGACCAGGGACCTGACATCACTGATTGGGTTATCTATAAAGATGATAAGGAAGGGAACGAGGGTGGAAAGGATAAATTACCTTGCTTCTTAGCAGGATCATCAATATTTTCGCTCTTTTTAGACTCCTTGGACCTTTCCTCTTGGTGCTTAGGGCCATTCTTCTTCTTTTCTTCTTGGAATGCTGCCTTCTTTGCCTTGTTTGTATCTATAATTTCGGTGTTCAGGACTGGCTTGAAGTCATCCCCACGGATTTTTGTTATTACTTCTTCTATTGCTGGCATTGGGTTGTCAATGGATTTATAGTAATATGAGTAAAAATGCGCCTCTCAATCATTTGGATTCTTTAGACTCAGATTTTCAGAAATTTGGTGCCAGTTATCAATCCCTCACAGAGAGATACCTTTGAGAAGTGTGATGTCCTCTTGGGCGGTCCAGTTCTCATCAAACAGAGGGAAGTCCAACTTGTCTATGACTGTGTAGCAATTAGTCTTTTTGTGGCCATTCTTCTCCTTCCCCTTTTTGAGGCATTCTAAGCAATAGATAAAGGGAACTTCTTTTTCCCCTACAGGGGTCTTCAGGATATTGGAATATTCTGTGTCTACAATCTTGACGCTCTTGCTAATATCCACTTCTCAGATGTTGCAAGTGGTATCTGCACTGATTATAGGGAATTTGAATAGTTGGTTGACAAGCTTCCTCTCTTCAGGGGTCATCTTGGGCACAGCAACCTCTAGATCCCCCTTCAGGCTCTCTTTAGAATCCTTGGCTGGACTTCCTTTGCTCTTTTTGCTAAATGGTTCGTTAGTGGGATCGATATCTGCTTCATCTAGCTTCCGCTTTCCTGTTGTTGACATATTTTTAATTTATTTATTATTTTGAGAGACTAGTTTTTAGTCAATAAAAACAAATTATTAGGGGTTTTGGGGTTTTGGGGTTTTGGGGTTTTGGGG